GCATCCGGGCAGGCGAGGAGTATTGGTTCTTATTATGTTCTGAGTGCCTTTAGCGTTCCCAGCTTTTCACAAGGATGCGTTGTCCGCAATGTTGTAAGACGATGCATGTAGATGATGGATCTCTGTTGAAATAGCTGCCGTAAGTTCCTTGCATTCCGCTTTGTCACTTACTAGATATGATTTGTCCCTTGTTCATCGCAGCCATTTTAAGAGTTCTAATGAATGATATCGATTGGAAAGGAAAATGTTTCACGTGACAGTAGGGTTTTATGACGAAATAGATGTGCGAGGTCACTGCGTTCATATGAGTGCTGATATCAGGGTTCGCCAGAGGAGATCAGCCAGTCGTACCGAGTTTGAACCGAAGGCACGAACCGGCTTCATTCTGGAAGATGCTTCGGTGTCGTAATGAACTCTGGTCGCTTACAAACCTCATCATTCCGTGATTCGGGAATATGCAAGGCAATCACTACCAAACAGTTGGAATCAAGGTTAATTTTGCACGTTGGTGGTTACTGGGGCTAAGGAAAGATTTTGGAAACAAAGCATCACTGATCAGCGATTGTCCTATCTTTACGAAAACGGAACTGCGTTAAAGCTGTATTAAGGTGATCATAGATGCAAATACTATATGTAATTCACTTTGACGTCAAAATTTAGCTTAACTTTCGTTAGTGCTACGCTGGATCCAATTTGTAGTCGATAAAATATATTTTGTTTTCAAACATTGTAGACCACTTCAGCAAGAATCTTATAAACCCCTCGAAATCTCAACCGAAGCTTGATTGCGTGTTCTGCGTGGTTCACTGTTCGCATATGGTCGTGCTACGTGTTTCACTGCATGGTTCAATAGTATCGAGTTTCTTTTTCAACGTCGTAGCGGCGATGATGCTGAAGTTGGAGTTGGAGCAATTTTCAGTCACTGATAGAAGCCGGATGCGCAGCAATGGACAAGATGAAGTAAAACGGTCTCTTCTGTAAGCCCGTACCCCATAACGTTGACACGTCGGTTCCCGATCCCAACCGTGACGCCGCACAAGGCGGTCTGAATACGCTCACCCGTCTGCAGCAATTTGCACTATTACACCGTGACACGTAAAGCCGAGCCAGGCCTGCAAGAAATCACCAAAATTTCGGTGTGACTAGCGTGCTGCGGTTCAGTCTTCTATAATATCTGCTACGGGCGGCAACGGCTCGTTTTTTAGATTCGATTCGAAGTCGAATCAAACGATTCATCATCAGTGTGTATTTGCGATTAATTAGTCGCAAGGCCGAGACCGAAACTCTCCGACAGCCAGCCTATTAATTTTTAATCTTGTCTGATTCAGATTCAACTTTTTCGGCACGCTCTCAATACGGTTTGCTTTATTAATCTTCATTAGTATTTGCGTACCTTCCTCAGGTCACCATATGGCATTTCAGAATCGATGGATCTTATCCGTTCGAAAATTGAGCAGCGCGCGTTTTGTATGCAACTGCTACCTGAGCGTCGGAATGTAGTCTCTGTTGGTAGTCTCGTAACGCGTGAGACGAAACATGTACCTGAGACATCGGAGCTGTGACTTCTCAATCTGAAGACGCAGCCACTACACACCAAGGCTATTCCAGATATCTCTACTCCCAACGATGTTGAGACGCGTAACACTCAGCAGTTTCGTCTCATAAAGCACCTTTCAGCGGTTTATATATTCGGGGTCTAAGTTTTTCAGTCAAGGCCCAAGACTCACGATCGTAGATAAGCATGGGACGAATATCGACTTGAACATCGAGCGCTTATTCTTCAGACTCAGCTTTGCTTTAGTCATAACGGTGCGGGCTAGTTCACGCAGAATACCGCTGATCATCTCAATTCTTCGGTTGATTTTTTCCTCCCATTTTCCATCATAAGTAAACATGACTCCGAGAAACGTGACTTTTCCCTCACTCCACTGCTTCTCCATATATCTGAAGAGAGCAACGGGCACAAGAACAAGAAGATTCAGTTTCAGAAGATGCCAATAAAATAAAGTCGTCTGGAAACAGCAACCTTCTCGTCCTGGCATCTCCTACATCGATATACTCGTCGTCTTGGTTGCGCTTTACTCTCCAATCCATGTACAACACAAACAGAACAGGGAACAGAGCGTAATCTTGGCAGAAACCAATACAAAAGCTGAAATATCTCAACTTAGCGGTATTTACACTGACACAGCACCTGCTCTCAACGTATAGAAGATGGATAGCTCGCATCAACTGGTAAGCGATCCCACATGTTTGCAGGCTTATCGGAAGCATGCTGAGCGGGAACTGGTCAGAGACTTTCTTCAGCATCACAAAGCACATATAAACGATTTCTCAACAATCCGTCATAAGGCTAAAATTTAGTAAGAGGAATTTCGGCTTGACCTGATGCCACACCGCTCTTGTATTTTAGAGTCAACCATTCCGCAGCACCCACTCTCTAAAATCCTTGCATAAATTTTTTCCGGGAGGCTCAATAGGGTAATGCTCTAATGACAGGAGCATTGCATATGGTTCATTTTACCAAGCGGTAGCGTTGTTCCGTCGCTCTCCCAGATCTTTCCCTTCTTAAAATCGACCGTTGCATATTTATCCAAACCGAATTCCATCCTGATGTCTTCCGGAAACTTTCGTACGTCTGGAATCAGATTATCCAACTCTTTCACGAATTTTGCAAATAACTTCAGATCGTCCATGTATAGCAGCAGCGATATCACACTGCCATTTTTAACTGATGTTCTTTTCAGTGATATTTGGCTAGTAACTGGGCGATTCAGTGCCATACAATAGAAGCGGCGAGATTAAATCTCCGTAGAAGATTCCTTTATCTTCACTGATCCTAAGGAAACTGTTACACTGCAGCGTTGTTTGCCACTGATTCATTGCCGCATCGATCAACTTTATTAGATCATCGTTGACGTTTTAAAGTCTCAGGCATTTTAGGATCCAGCTGTGTTACTAGATCAAATGCTTTTCTAAAGTCGACCCAGGTCATGACCATGTTGGTCTTTATCATTTGGCAATTCTGATGTTGCGCCTTGTCCATGAGTGACCGGTCTTCACGTCCCTTTGATTTCGTTCGACAGCTTTTTCATTAAGGCAATAAGGTGCTGTTCGCGTCGAGAAGCTCGTAAACTGCATTAGTCAATATGTACGTCAGGAGCTTTTAAGTCTTCCGAAGGCATGTAGTTAGTCACATCGCCATAACCGCTGTACTCATCCGTTAAGACTAGGTATGTTGCTTTTTTGTTAAACAAGAAGGTGGTCCTTCTTCAAGTACTCTGTGAAAGGACATTGCTATTCATGAATGCAAACACGCTAGTCGCTGCAGCCGAAACGCATGGACCCAATCTGGATCCGGTGCATCCAGTGTCTCATCTTTCTGACGGCTTCGCTCACATTTCGTTTAAGAGACTGGGACCTCTCTTTGTTCTTTGGCATTTCCTTATCCTAGTTAGCTTCTCTGTTGTGGGCGTGCTTGTCCAGCATTGAAGCGATTCTCCTGCGTTATGACCAACGGTCCTCATATTACTCGTTGACTTGTCCTTTGCCTTTAATTTTCCGTAGAGACTTCAGCATTTTGAATGAAGGTTTCGAACAAGGTTCTAATTGAATCGTTCGAAAGTTTTCTCGTAGGCTTGAAGCTTTGCCTATACAATTAACAGCTTTTGCTGCAGCTCCTCGCATACAGCTCTGATTGTTTATTTTGATTCAATCCTTCACTTTTTCATCATATTCGTCGCTGAAATGTTTATGCTGCCCTTGTTCATTTGTTGTAGTTGGTTCTTTTCTTGTCGTTTTTATTCCTGTTTGTTTTTTATTCTTCGCAACCATGGCGGCTCTTCTCCTCTAGAATTTGTTTTCAGCTTAAAGTAAGAGTTCTTCGCTATCATGGGAGCCATTGCAAATATCACACTATTGATGGATTACAAGTTATTGGCTGGCATCATCTTCATAACACTGCTGGCTTGACTGATATATTTACGTAACGTTTTGTTGCCTCTGAGAAGACGGATACATCTTCCATGTTCGTCGGGTTGTTCAACCTCCTACTGAAGCAATTTTTCTTTATGGTTCAGTTGAATAACTTTTGTCATATCAGCCATTTCGATCTCTGGTCTCATAGGTTTGTCCAGAATGATTTTACTAATATAATGAATTGACTGATTCTCTTGCCCAATGGTTTCACTATCAAGTACTCTTCTGATCTCATCCATCTCCAACTCTGTTGGCAGCATGTTCTTCTCAATGAACCGTTTGTGGTCAGCTCGACGTTGCTCGTTGTATCGCTGAACGGGTAGCGTTCTTCCAGCATTGTTTTTCAATAACGGCTGCTCTGCTTCACAGCGATACAATAACACTCCATAACAATCCTCTTTTCTTCCTTCTACCACAACCTGTGCACCCGTCGCCATTCTGCCACTTC